GGTGCAGTAACCAACCAGCTTACAGATAAAAAGTAACATGTTTAGATGAAGTCTGAACTCCGTAGATTGCTGGAGCCCTTCTTGTCACCTGCCATATTTAATAATAACAGTCTGAACAAACAACATTAACTCAAGTTACTAAACAAAAGAATGCTTTATCTATAACTCCAGAGGGCACTCTCACTGTAGAAGCTCCTACAAATTTTTAACCATTTAGAATTTTGTACATGTCTTGCAAAATACACCATTAAACTCAATCCTATACTGTTTTTAAAAACTTGCCCATTTCACTACTTTTGTTAACTTATACCTTCTAAAAACATGATTTTTCTTTTTCTAACAAAATTTATTTTTAGTAATAACATATACTAAGTGTTCAAAACAAACATTGGGTTGAAAAAAATTGAAGAACTTAAATTTCGGTGGGAAATAAAACAGAGGGTTAAAAACACTAAAATTGAAAAGTCAAAATATTTTAGAACACTAGCCTCATAATTATAATGAATGTAAAGTGTAAGGAAGTGAAATGAACGTGGGATGAAACAAGTGACTTAAAAATTTTTACCCACCTACATTTAAAGCGAAATTTTATGAACTTAACTATTAATTATTTTTTTTGATTTTGCACCAAATAGAAATTTTTAAAAAAATACACCTAGTTTGGCTTTCTACATTTGAACCGTTAATGACAATTGTACAAATCTATTTTTCCGTGCATCAACTGTAGTTTAGAAGACTACACCACAAGAACATCACAATGCAATGATAAAATCGACACAAGTGGTTAAAAATCACTACACAAGTCTTATTACAAGTAAATTAAAAAGTGTTCTTACTTTTTATATACATACTGGAGCAACAGAAAACAAAATTGTTATTGTTTAAAAGCAATGGTACTAATGCAGCAATGAAATAATGATTGAGGGCGCTGGTCGTGTTTGATATAGGGTTGATGAAATGGAGGTAAAAAGATTGTTGCAAACAAATGTTAACTAGCTGAATGACGACCATCAGCTTTTAGGTAAAAATTACACAAATAATTAGATCATATTTAACTACAACATCCTTAACTTTCACCTGCCACCTCACAAAAACATTGCATTTTAAACTTCAGATTATGCCTGTAGATGGCACACTGACAATCTACGTCATATATAGCGTGGTATACATATCAACAGAATTAATAGGATATGCATGTTCAGGTCCTACAGATATCCATTTCATGTACAAGGATACACATATTCAGGTACAGTATTTATCAACTTCATTTGTTAAGATATACATGTTCAGGTACTACCGGAATGTATATTCATGTAATTTGATAGGGTATGCAGGTTTAGGGCATGTACATATCCAATCCATTTTCTACAGTATGCATGTTTATATGTCTATTTCATATTTTTCGTTACATTTCCACATACCCATCTTATTTATAGTTTATGAAGGTTCAAGTCTAGATGTATAGATGTTCAGGTTCTATATATGAACATCATCAAATGTTAGGGTATGAGTTTAAGGTTAATGCATGTTCAGGTCCTACATATATCCACATTAATTTTTTAGGATATGCATGTTTAGGTCCAGCAATATATCCTTGTTATTCTTTTTAAGATATGCATGTTCAGGTCCAGCAATATATCCTTGTTATTTTTTTAGGATATGCATGTTCAGGTCCAGCAATATATCCTTGTTATTCTTTTTAAGATCTGCATGTTCAGGTCCAGCAATATATCCTTGTTATTCTTTTTAGGATATGCATGTTCAGGACCAGCAATATATCCATGTTATTCTTTTTAAGATATGCATGTTCAGGTCCAGCAATATATCCTTGTTATTCTTTTTAGATATGCATGTTCAGACCAGCAATATATCCTTGTTATTCTTTTTAGATATGCATGTTCAGGACCAGCAATATATCCTT